GACGCTTCATAATGATTACATTAAGATGAATTTTGGTATTAATTCTAGATTTCTCATCTTCTAGGATAAAAGTTTGATAATTCTTGGGTAACTAGATCTGCAGCTACTTCCTCTTCCTGCTTTGGAATGAATAGTAATCGCCAACTTCATAGTTACACTTAAGACCAACTTCCAAAATTTTTTCATAAAAAACTCTGTCACATCACCTAGCGTTTCACTGAAACCTAGAGGTTACTAAAACACCTAGAGTGGGAAACAAAAGTCAACCATCAAGGGAAATTTTTTCTATCAGTTATCTTATAATTAATTAATTAATTAATTACAATAAAAATCAATATAATTTAATACTTTCGTTTTCACTGATGTTTATAATTTATTTTTATGGCAGCCAACAACTTCAGGTACCACCACAGATGATTGGAACTGAGAGTGAACAGGGCCCAGTGCTTCCTCATCCATCTCCACCTCGAGTCCCGATGCGTCTTGTCCAGTCAAAAATGCATATCAGAGAAATCTTTTAGAATCTCTTGAGAAGAGACAAAAGCGACAGCCAAAGCAAAAGCAATCTCTTCTTCAGGAATGTTTTATTTTGTACATGTATAAGCACCTTGGTGAGAGGGAACCTTGTGTGTTAAAAGAAACTAAAATGCAATTACAAGCATGAAAGGAAGTTATGCTTGAAAAGCAAAACATTTCTGCTTTTGGCCATGAGAGAGTAATGGAATCTAGCATTCACCTTCATCCATAAACAAATAGAAAACTGGACAAAGTATAGACAATATCTATTTTTAGAAACTGGACCATTGGCAGTGCAGTTAATGGTCCCTGAGGAAAGAAATGAATAAGTTGACCTTCTTGCTTAGAGGTAATTTCTGGGCTGCAGTTATAGGAATGAAGAAACCAAAAGAAGCCTGGCAGTCTCATGGAGTTGGGGAGATGATATCCCAATTTGAGGAGGCTGGAGCAGTTGGAATCTGCAGGAAAAAGCATCTGAGATTAAGGAACTTTGTAGAGAAAGGGCTACAACAATCTGACTGGGGATCCGTATTCTTTGTCTGAATACCAAATGCACATGAAGAATGTGTAGCCATGGGTCCAGACTAAAACCATATTGCAGGGGAAGAAAAATTATATCAGAACTGTAAAATTAGTAATTCCTCAAACTCACACACAGCTGGGAGTTGAGTTCCTCTCAGCTACAGTAGAGATGCCTTGTTGAATACACAAAACATTCAGGAGAGTCTACCTAAGAGGCCCCATCTCAGAGTGTGGCTCAAATAAAACGTGTACATTTTATTCTAGATTTTCCTTAAAATGACTTAAAAAGGTGCTTCAAAGATCAAAGTTATAAAATGTGAATGAAATCTGATCCTCTTTAAAGGAACACAACAAAAGCTAGCACTCAGCAACCTTACATTCACAATGTGTGGCACCTGTTTGGAGTATGGAGGTGATGATAGAGATAGAAAAGAAGATGGACTTAGGACTATGATTGAGATAAGCCATTGACTACTGAACCATTAACTACATCAAAGACACAAAATGAAATGAATGGTGTCAGACATTATAACATCAAAGGATTTAGAAGTTTTTCAGTATGGAAAGGTAGGGTAATTATTCTTACTGGGCAAAAGTTTGACTACTGTGCAAAAGCTCTGCACTGTTCATTTATTAAACATTAATTGAGCACCAGCTATGTTCCTTGTTTGTTGGTGAGTGGTTATGCAAAATATATAAGGCACACATACTACTGATTAGGTTTTGCCCACGGTTGTCCCTTAATGTAGAGGCTCTGAGCTGGCATGCAAATAAACAGTAAATAGTATTTTACATAGAAAAATATTTTCACATAATAATCTTCAAATCCTCACCTCATAAATACTTGTAGTTGCTATGAAGTTACCTCTATTAATCAGAACTCCAAGATTTGGCATTTGGATGAAAACAAAACTCACTTTTTCCCACCTAAAATATTGAATTTATATAATCTTAGAATCAAAGATGCTAGAACTGAAGGGAACTTTAGAAATCATGTAGTACAGTGGTCTTCAAACTTGCTTGAAAGAGGCCAGGTGGCTGCCCCAATTGTGTTGGGAGTGTGGTGGCAGTGGTGGGGCAGATTGGCTGAGCAGGTGGTCCCCTGGTGTAACCAGATCAGTAAAATACCCTTGGTGGTGATGGGGTGGGGAAAGGGGGCAGGGAAGTGGGCAGTGCTCCCTGCTTCACACTTAGTATGATTTTACATTATTTGTCCAGCCCTTGAGACACTTGTGTGTGCAAAGCCTGCACGATAGCCTCACCTTTCTTTTTACTGGTTCCTCCTTTTCTTTCAATGTGTAACCCCCAAGAAAGGAGGTTCATGTCATTGGCTAATACTTTCATGGCACAAAAGGAACTGTCACCTTAAATGATTTTTACTTTAACTCATTAATTTCCTATGCTATTTTATGTAAATGAGTTTCATGCTCTGTGCATGAAATGATTAGTGCATGTTTGTAAAATTATTATTTTAAGAACACTATTTCTGATAGCTGAAATTACAGATCAAGCTAGCCATCTCACTTGCTTTAGATTTTTTCACAGGGAAATGCTAACTTCTACCTGCAATCTAACCACAAATCTTTTGTAATACTTAGGAAAAATAAAACTATCAAAAGCTCATTTGATTGGATAGGAATGAAAGGTGGAGAAATGGTTTCAACTCTTACCTTGTCTGATGCCCTGACCAATATTGTAACAACTAGACACATGAGGCTATTTAAATTTACATTAATTAAAGATTTTAAAAAATCACTTGATAGTGTTAGCTACATTTCAAGTGCTAACACTTTGACAGCTGAGATATAAAAAACTTCCATCATTACAGAAATTCTACTGGATATCACTAGCCTAGAGAAATACTGTAAATCGACGAAAATTGCTTGTCATCGGTAGGCATGAAATCTTACTTTTGCTTTGTCTCTTGTCATGGGAAGGAAACTGTTATTCTGTGAAAAGAAAATCTAATGCATTTGTTTTCCCCTCTGACATTTCTTTCAGTTGTCATATCTTCCTGTCTCTCTTCTAAGGGATCATTCTTCCTGTTCAATCTGCCCATTAGACATGAGACATCAACCATTTCCATCAGTACCCTTGTACCTGGCTAAACAACTCTTCTACTATCACTAATATTGGCTATAAATTGTCATTCTGTGATGGGAACGGATTGGATTATACAAAGTTCAGGAAAAAGCTTTCTGCTTTTGGTGAGTCTCCAGGAAACATCCTTTTCCTAAAATACTCACTTTCCAAGAATCTAGTCACAGTGCCTGAAATCCCAGCATGTTCCTGACATTTTTAGTTTTTCCAAAGTTTGCTACTAAAAGGCAAATTCCTAGCTACTGTGCACCAATCTGGTTTCCTTTTGTAGCTATTTGTAATCTAATAGGTTTATCCTCCTAGGATTACAGAACCTGGAAGGAAAAGAACTTTGGCAACCAGGAAGGGCGGTTTGTCAGGGGGAGCTTTCATGAAAATGCCAGCTGCTTCTGAAAGTTTCTGGAGACTTCCTTGCAATAAGAGACGAGACCAGGAAACCTCAGGATGCTGTTTGCAGCACCTTAGGATAGACAAACCTGGCTTTGATCCTGGAACTGTAACATTCTCTTCTGTGCCCTTTGCCTTATCATGTAACCTATCTGAACTTCGTTCTCTATACGTAAAATGGGTCTCAAAGTAACTTATCAAGCCCAGCCAGCTTGATAATGAAGATCCTATCTCGTGCTAAGTTCATGTAACAAAAATAAAAATATTTTAAAATATTTTTCGGACTCATTTAAAGCAAGTTATTTTTTAAAGAGTGACATGTGATTTACATCTAATTTATCTCATACAGGAAAGAGGAACCTAAGAGTCTTTATGGACCAAGAGCTAAAGAACTAAAACCCTAAAGAAAAATCTTCAGATCATCATTTCCAATTAAACACAATTCTAAAAATATACCTTCCAAAATAATTACAGGAGATTCCATTTCTTAGGGAGCAAGCAGTTAATTTTCAAAGAGATGAAATTTTTAAAAAAGCCAACAAAATGTATGTGAGCCTATAATGTAGAAGTAATAATAGCAACTGTGCTATTAAGACTGTGAAATTAAAACAATGTTCTCTTACTGGAAAGTAAAGCTCCAATTTAAAACAGAATGTTAATAAATATTTCATCCCATTCCATCCTCATTTTGAGCCTTGGTTTAGCCTCCTTTGCACTATTTCAACAGTCTGCTAAGTAAGAGGTTTCCCTGTCTCTCACTTTTATTTCTTCCAGTTTATCCTACTTCTTTGAAAAGATTAATCTTCCTTTAGCCATGTTATACTATAGCATTCTCACACTGAAAAACCTCCAAAGGCTCCCAGTTTTAATTGAAGGAGGATAAACCTGTCAGGCTGTATTACAAATTCTTCTATTCCAGTGGTTTTTCAAATGAGTTTTCTGGAATCCTAATGATCCAAGGAGAGTCTCATGAAATTTTGATCCAAGCACAACAAATGCCGAGACTACAACTATTTATTGCCTATTCCTCTGCAATTCAAATGTCTAAATGCCATGATACCAGAGCGTTGTAGGGATAACTGTGTTAAATCTAAACTTAGGGAGTAGTTATTAATCTGAAATAGTTTATATATGAGGGTTCTGCATAACATTTTATTTAGCCTTGGCCAGTTTTGCTCAGTGGTTAGAGTATCAGCTCGCACACCAAAGAGTCATGGATTCAGTTTCCAGCCCCAGTAGAGGTGCCCATTCAGGAGGCAACCAATCGATGTGTCTCTCTCATGTCAATGTGTCTCTTTTCCTCTCTCTCTTTCTCTCCCCCCTCCTCCCTCCCTTCCACTCTCTCCATAAATCCTCAGGTGAGGATAAAAAAATATTTATAAAAGATTTTGAACTACTAAAAGAATTTGAGAAAAGTTACTCTACACCATGTCTATAATTTTACCACCAAACATGCCATAGTTTCCTGTATCTACTATAATGCTGGTGCTTCCACCAGAAATCCCCTCCTCTTCATGCCTTTCCCCATGTGTCCATGGTAAATCTTTGCATGGCCATCAAAGCCTTTCTGATCCATTTACCCAGCGTTCTCTTTACTTTGCATCATGTTGATGGCACCCACTGGATTTTTCTTCCTGTGTTTTATTCATACTCCATGCTAGGCTTGTTTTTCTTGAGGGCAGGCAGAAATCATGTCTTACTTTGCATCCGTTAGTAAGTCATCAGCTTTCTAAAGAAAGGCATCCAGTACTAAGATTTCTGAAAATAGAAATAACCATCATTAGCACTATCACATCACATTTTATAAATTCTATGATTTAAGAGCAGGGACTTTTCAAGAGCTCTGTCCAATGACAAATATGCTCTAATTAGTAAAGTATTTAAATTATGATCATTTCACAAGGCATATGCAAAACCACTAATATTTTAGAGTGATTTGATGATATGGGGAACTATGATTAGTGACAACAAGAATAATAAAAACAACAATAATTTATTGAATGCTTATCATGTGCTCCATCTTTCCACATATTTTCTCATCTCATTCTAACAGTTCTCTCAAATGGGCGGCACCCCACTTTTAAAAAGAGAGATGTTCTTTATTCCAAGAGGCCAAGTTAGTTGCTTAAGGTTAGAGCAAGTGGGAGAGTCAGAACTGAAATATGGGCTGTGTGGTCCAAGAGTTAAGGTTCTTTCCAGTTCATCAGACTATCACTCAGAATAGGAACAAGGAAAATAACAAAAGTAATGGCATATGCATGAATTCTTCATGCAAGACGCTTTAAATATTGCTATTCAGTACTTAGAATTTGAGACACTTCATGGTCATTTTAAAATTCTTGCTTTAGGATTTTCCAAGAAAACACACCCACTTGGACTGAAACCTGACTGAGCATTTCACTCCTGGCTGAGAGGCAGACCATCCACCAGAGCCAGTGACAACAAAAGGCAAACACTGAAACATAGAAACGTTATTGCATTAGTTACAGATGTGAACTTAAAACTCACGCTGCTTCTGAGAGAACAAGAATAAAGAGCAAAAATACACGGTAAATATTAGTTAAATGTAGATTTGAGAGCAGGTCTGGTATTGCTAATTGAATGGTGATTAAAGCTAAATAATCAGACTTCCCATCATAGCAGAGTGGATTAGAGACATTGATCATGATGCTCTTCAAGTATCTGAAAGGTTCAGGTTTCCAGCTTGCGGCCAGCTTGCCTCAGAGCTGAATGAATGCCAACATGAGTCTCCTTGAGAGACTGATTGCCTCTTCACCTCTTCACCGATGCGACCAGGTATCCTGGGTCAGGCTTGTGTTTACCTACTCTTCCCAGTTGGCAGTCTTCCTAATTTCAGTCCTAGCTTTAAGCCCTTTGACTCGCTAAAAACGGGTTGCCTCAGTTCACAATACTTAGCAATTCAAAAGTTGACCTTGGGCCATTGAGCTAAATTTTCACTTTGGTGGGTCCTATGTAAGCTTAATATCTTTCATAACTTTCACTCCTCTTATTTCTTACTTTGGTGTGATACTATAGAGTTTGAATTCCCAAATATAAGTAGTAAAATAACAGTAGCTGCAATTTATTAACCTCCAGCTATTCTGAAGGTAGCTTCTGTGAATATCACCTTGAGACAATCCTAAGGGTACCACCAGGAAGAGCCTGAGCAACAGCAAAGCCCAGGGAAGGTGGTCTCTGGGGAGAGGGGAGCAGAGGTACAAGTGTTAACCAGACCCATGATGAGGGTTCAGTTCCAATTACCCAGAAAGCAGTTCTAAACTATTTATGAGCCCTCCCTCTCCCTCTTTGTTTCTCTCCCTGCCCCCTCTCTTTTCCCCATCCCTCCCGCCCTACTCCCTATTTTTCCTACTGATTTTCCTGACCTCCCCTCCCCTCTCATCCTATATTGATTGATCTGAAGTAGGACTTTTCATTTCATGCCAACATCTTTCCCAAAGTCAGAGTGAGCAGAGCCAGTTTAGACCATGATACTATCAAGATAATGTTTTCAATGTACAAACAAAAAACTCTGGCCCAGCTGGTGTGGCTCAGTGGTTGAGCATCGACCTATGAACCAGGAGGTCACAGTTCGATTCCTGGTCAGGGCACATGCCCGGGTTGCTGGCTCGATCCCCAGTAGGGAGTTTGTGGGGGGCAGCTGATCAATGATTCTCTCTCATTATTGATGTTTCTCTCTCTCTCTCCCTCTCCCTTCCTCTCTGAGATCAATAAAAATATATTTTTTTATAAAAAGAAACTCTGTAAATAGGACACCATTGTAATCATTACCCACAATAAGATTTCACTTCAATTTAGGAATGGAAGATGATTTGTATCTATTAAACATAGCCATCATTTTTTTTTTTCAAAATGGAAAATTTATCACTAACACTTACCAAATTTTCATTATATGCCAGGCACTTGCCTAATAAGTATTTTACACGAACGTCCCCATATAATCTTCAAACTCAGTACCTATCAGGCAATAGGTATTATTATTGCTCTTACCTAACAAGTGAGGGAATTGAGACTTATAGAGGTTAAGCAATTTGTCCAAGGTCACCCAGCTGGTAAGTATGCAGACCTTGGACTTGAAACCAGATGCTACTATCAAAAAGAAGAAGAAAAAGAAGAAGAAGAAAAGCTCTTAATCGCTTACACCGCCACAGATTTTAAATTATTAATTTTAAGCTATATCTGATATCCTTTTGGTCAAAACCACCTCTCCTAAAGCTATTATAGAATAAACTGAATGAAATGCAAAATGCAAACTGTTCAAATTTCACAGAGAATTAGTTTGGGTCAATAATAAAGTCAGTTCTAATAATAAACTCTACTTGTATTATATTTCATCATCTTATGAAAAATGGCTTTTTCCCTCTTGTAGAAATCTTTTCATTTGCTGTGTTAAGGTGGACTACAATACCATATACCAATTTTCCTGTTAAAGTCTTTCTGCAGAAATGTTCTTACACCTAGAAAAGCAAGGATTTGTTTCTGGGGGAAGTAATCTGCTGCACTTTAAAGAGAACATCTCCTTGAAAACACGGACATGATATTCTTACATCTAATACTATGCTCCCCTTTGCGTTTGTATTGGGAGCTGTACAGTGACATTGAGGATTTATTTATCTATCATATTTTTATTGAGTATCTCCTGTAGGTAAAGGGTTTCTGACAATAAAAAGGTCATATGATCTAGTGTCAGACCTTACTTGCCCTAGCCAGACTCACCATGGCAACAGAGACTTGCATATCAAGATTAACCCCTCTATTCCTGAAACAATCTGATCAGGAGCAAGTATATCAGAAGGATCACTCCCCACCTCAGGTGGGGATGCAGAGTATTACTTGTGCAGTCTCAGACCAAATAATGGATTTCACTCATAGCACTATCACCCCTGTCCGGAGACTCTCACTGCTGTTCTTTGTCCACTGGGCTGAACCCCTGTGTATGTACACTAATCTAATCTAATCTAATCTCGGTTTTCATCTCCTTTTAAGACACTGTCATTTGGGGCACTGGATACTTTTGGGGAGCTCATCTACATTGGGAATCAGTTCCCTTAGCCACAGTCCCAACTGGCCCCACCAGTTGGAGATCCTAGCATGCCTCAAGCTGAATTCATTTACACAACACTTATTTGTTAGAAGTATAATGAAACCTACTAGTAAAGCTCATCTGGTGTGTGATTATAATCAGTAGACCCACTTCTTCAAATAGAATTTAATGGGTGAGCTCAATTAAAAACAACAACTAAATAGAAATAAAGTTAAAACAATAGTATAGAAATAAAAAGGTCCAAGATTTCTCCCTACTGCCCACCATTATCCTTCATACACACCTATACAAGGTCTTTAGAACATAGTCTTAGCATTCCTATTCATTCCAACTAGTCCTGAGTTGCAGGTAACTTATGCAGCGTCACCCGACTAGTAAGTCTGGGACCCAAAACTCAAACCTAATGTATTAGTCAGGGTTCTCCATAGAAGCAAACAAAATAGGATGTGATATATCTATACAATAAAAGCCAAGTGGCCCTCATGCACGATGGCCCCCACAGGATGGCCGCCACAGGATGGCTGCCACAGGATGGCCATCACAAGATGGCCACATGCACAGTGGAGGTGGGGCCCAGCAGCCGGGACCCAAAACTCAAACCTAATGTATTAGTCAGGGTTCTCCATAGAAGCAAACAAAATAGGATGTGATATATCTATACAATAAAAGCCAAGTGGCCCTCGTGCACGATGGCCCCCACAGGATGGCCGCCACAGGATGGCTGCCACAGGATGGCCATCACAAGATGGCCACATGCACAGTGGAGGCGGGGCCCAGCAGCCACTCCATGCAGTGAGGCCTAGGGGTCCCGTGGCTCTGTGCAGTGCAGAGGAAGCCGGTCCCAGAGTCTCCGTCACCTCACGCGGAGGAGGTGGGTCGTGGCAGGGGAGGGCAGTTGTGGATGATCAGGCCGGCAGGGGAGGGCAGTTGTGGGTGATTGGGCCAGCAGGGGAGCAGTTAGATGTCAATCAGGCTGGCAGGGGAGCTGTTAGGGGGCGATCAGGCAGGCAGGTGAGCAGTTAGGAGCCAGCAGTCCCGGATTATGAGAGGGATGTCCAACTGCTGGTTTAGGCCCAATCTCTGTGGGATCAGGCCTAAACTGGCAGTCAGACATCTCCCAAGGGGTCCCAGATTGGAGAGGGTGCAGTTCGGGCTGAGGGAAACCCTCCTCCCCTGTGCACAAATCTCATGCACGGGGCCTCTAGTCTAGTCCTAGCTAACAAAGAGGGAATATGCTAATTGACCATCATGACCTCACACAAGATGGCCGCCCCCATGTGGTCAAAGATGGCCACCCCCATGTGGACACAAGATGGCCACCCAAATGGCCAGCAGGGGAGGTCAGTTGTGGGCAATCAGGTCAGCAGGGAAGGGCAGTTAGGGGCGACCAGGCCAGCAGGGGAAGACAGTTAGGGGGACCAGGGCTGCAGGGTAGGGCAGTTTGGGGCAACCAGGCCAGCAGGGGAGGGCAGTTGGGGGTGACCAGGCCAACAGGGGAGGGAGGTTGGGGGAGACCAGGCCTGCAGGGGAGAGAGGGCAGTTGGGGGTGACCAGGCCTGCAGGGGAGGGCAGTTAGGGGGACCAGGCCTGCAAGGGAGGGCAGTTGGGGGCAACCAGGCAAGCAGGGGAGGGCAGTTAGGGGTGACCAGACCAGCAGGGGAGGGCAGTTGGCGGTTACCAGTCCTGCAGGGGAGAGCAGTTGGGGTGACCATTTTGGCAGGGGAGGGCAGTTGTGGTGATCGGGCTGGCAGGGGAGCAATTAGGTGTCGTTCAGGCTGGCAGGGGAGTGGTTAGGAGGTGATCAGGCTGGCAGGCAGAAGCAGTTAGGAGCAATCAGGCAGGCAGGCAAGCAAGTGGTTGGGAGCCAGCAGTCCCGGATTGTGAGAGGGTGCAGGCTGTCGGAATCCCCTGAGGGGTCCCAGATTTGACAGGATACAGGCTGGGCTGAGGGACAACCCCCCCAGTACACAAATTTCATGCACCGAGCCTCTAGTACATCTATATAATAAAAGCCTAAGCGACCGTTAGGGTGGAATAACCAGAATGGTCACTATGATGTGCACTGACTGCCAGGGGGCAGACGCTCAATGCAGGAGCTGCCCCTGGTGGTCAGTGCGCTCCCACAGAGGGAGCACCACTCAGCCAGAAGCTGGGCTCACAGGTGGCGAGTGCAGGGGCAGTGGTGGGAGCCTCTCCTGCCTCCACAGCAGCACTAAGGAGCAGCAAGCCAACCAGTAAGGACCAGTGAGCAGGCAGGCGGTAAGGTGCGAAGGGTCCCAGACTGTGAGAGGGATGTCCGAATGCCAGCTTATGCCTGCTCTCCATGGGGGGTCCTGGACTGCGAGAGGGTGTAGGCCGGGCTGAGGGCACCCCCCTTCAGTGCATGAATTTCATGCACCGGGCCTCTAGTATATAATAAACATATATCACTCACACACACACACATCCTATCTAATAAAGAGGGAATATGCTAATTGACCCTCATGCATCACAAAGGTGGCAGTGCCCACAGTGCAAGATGGTGGCACCCAGTCCCCTCAGCCCTGCCGGGGCGGCAGGAGGGCCCAGCTGTTCCGTGTGCGTGTCTCTGGAGACCCCCAGTCCCTTCAGCTCCCCAGCCGCCCAGGGCCACCTGAGGCTCAGGTAACCAGGGCCGGCCAAGGATTCTGCTGCCAGCAGTGGCAGCAGCAGAGGTGTGATGGGGCATCACCTTCCCCTAATCGCTGGGGTCTCCCAGACTGTGAGAGGAGGCAGGCCGGGCTGAGGGACCCCC